TGTAGTGGAGCCTGAATAGCCTTAGTCTGTTCAAGCATTCCTTGTACTGAAACCATTTCTCTTTCATAAATGAGCCCATACTTCAGTGACTTATGGAGAACAATATTCAAAGCAAAATTCTCAAGCTGACAAGGAGAAGAGTTTTATATTGCTTGAGAAAAGCATAAGTTTTGCTGCCTAGCGAGACATAAATTTTCTCTGGTTGTGAGCAAACCTGTGAGTCTTTCTGGCATGGTGGTTCTCACAATTCATAGGTGTTTTGGGACTGTTGTCACAGGTGTTTTGGTGGTTTTTTTGTTTTTTTTTTTTTTTTTCCTCAGATTCCAAAAACTTCAGTAACTGATATGAGGAACAAGATGACATTCAGAACTTGAAGATAGTGATTTATTTTCTTAAAATTATTTTCTTTTTTCTCAGCAGGCACCTGTTTTTCGATCAGGCTTCAGTCACTATATGTTTGTTGGGGTTTTCTTCTTCAGAGAGGTGCATCCTTACAGGGTCCATACTATCCTGTTAAACCATCCTGTACTGTTAATGGCAAAAGCTGTAAGGCAGCTATTGGGCTGTTTGGAAATTAATTGCCGATTTCAACCTGTATGTTTGAAGGGGCATATCGCAGAATAAAATTTATTAATCAAAATAAGAACCGTTAGAATCAACACATTTTTGCCAATGAGAAACAAGCGTGTTTATTCTGGTTGCATAAAATTCTGGACTTCTGGAGGTGATGAAGTCATCGAAGGCAGTTTTGGCCTCCCCTTGGTTTCTGAAGTGTCTCCCGCACAGGAAGCTGTTGAGATGCTTGAAGAAGTGATAATCTGTGGGTGAGAGTTCTGGTGAGTACGGTGGATGAGGCAGAGTTTCATAGCCCAGCTCATTCAACCGTTGCAGCGTCAAAAGTGCAACGTGTGGCCGCGCATTATCATGGAGAAGGATTGGACCCTTTCTGTTGACCAGTGCTGGGCACAGCCATTGAAGTTTCTGGTGCATTTCATTGATTTGCTGGACGTACTTCTCCACCATGATCATTTCACCTGGATTCAGGAAACTCCGATGGATTAAACCAGTAGCAGACCACCAGACAGTCAGCATGACCTTCTTTTGGTGCAGATTCGGCTTTGGGAAGTGCTGCGGAGCTTCATCGCAGTCCAACCACTGAGCCGATCGTCGCCGGTTGTCATAGAGCATCCATTTCTCGTCGCACGTCAAATACGATTGAGAAATGGGTCGTTCTGGTCGCAAAAAAGAAGCGCCGACAACACTTCAAAATGGCGATTTCTGTGATTCTCATTCAGTTTGTGTGGCATCCATTTGTCGAGCTTCTTCAACTTTCCAAGACACTTCAAAATGGCGATTTCTGTGATTCTCACTCAATTCGTGTGGCACCCATTTGTCGAGCTTTTTCGACTTTCTAATCTTCTTCAGATGCTCAGAAACAATTGATATGCTTACCCCAAGTTCTTCTACAAGTTCTCGAACAGTTGTGCATGTATCTGCTTCCACCAGAGTCTTCAATTCATCATTGTCAATAGCAGAAGGACGTCCGTGACCTTCTTAATCTTCAAGGTCGAAATCGCCACATCAAAATTTTTGGAACCGAAGTCGCACTGTCCATTTGTTAACACTTTCCTGGCCATATACCTCATTGATGTTTCGAGCAGGTTGCACTGCATTATGTTAAAGTTTGAACTCGTAGATCTGTCGAAATTGCTGTTTTGACATCTGAACTTCAAACCTCCAAAATTTGTCAAAAACGCAGTTTATATTATAATTTAATTATACAGCGTGAAAGTTCATAACATGAGCTTTTCAGAAATATATAACAGTACTCCAGTCGAGAAGGTACTATTCCTGTAACATATACAATGAAAATCACATTACAAAACATAAATTAGTTTCCAAACAGCCTATATTTATGAGACTGAGATGGAGACACTTGGTGAGATACAAATCACAGAATCATAGAATGGTTTGGGTTGGAAGGGACCTTAAAGATCATCTAGTCCCAACCCCCCTGCTATGGGCAGGGACACCTTCCATTAGACCAGGCTGCTCAAAGCCCTGTCCAACCTGGCCTTGAACACTGCCAGGGAGGGGGATCAACAACAAATCTTGCATTGCTTGTTCTTCTACTTCTGATGTTTCCTACTGCTAACTCAATACAGAGGAAGGCTGATTAATATCCTTCCCCTTGTCAAATCTGTTTCAGCAGCAGCATCGCTCCTGCTGTTTGTTTTTGGGGTTTTTTTTTGGTTCGTGTTTTCTTTGACCACAGATGGTAGATTAACTTTTTATATATGCTTCAGTAGGAATAACTGATGTGTGCTATCTACTTATGATAGGTAATGTAAGCAGGAAACAGTCATGGTGTCCCATTTCCCCCATTTCTTGAGATGAAGGTTAGATTATTAAGCAGTTGCTATAGAGTTGTTATTACTATTTTGTAATAGGGAAAAATATACATCAGCTCTGGTATCTGTAAAATCTTTGAATGCTTTGAAATACATTCCCCTCCAGAAATTCTCTTGTGTTTAGTGTGAGTGTGTGGCAAACCTGCTGTACTTCCAAAACAGAAGAAAATGCAAAAGACTTATTTTACAGCCTGTAGCTCAGATTAGGTCAGTGTTAGAGCTAGGTTTAGATTCTCAGAATCTCTTTCCTTCCATATGAATTCAAGCCACTCCTTTTCTGCACTGACAACTCTTTGAGTAAAACATCTATTGTTATTTGCTGTTAATACCTTCTCAGAGTACCCAAAGATAAATAGTGCCAGACAGTGCTTTTAATCATAAGTACTCATCCTGCTTATAGACAGAAGGTATCTGCTTAGTCAAATATTCACCTTTCTTTTGCTAAGTAAGACAACTTGCAGTATTTCCAGAACTTTATAGAGTTTATGTTTTGTAGGGTAACAAACTACTTTTCTTGGTCTGCATAAGAAGATTGGCTGTTGCCAAATTATATGTCAAAGCTTTAGTGAATCTACAAAACTTGTAGATAGGAATGTTGAAGCTTCACAGGATGACATGTTTTCTATTTAAGATGCTCAGGTATATGGGTCAGATGAAAAAAACAGTAGCTACATTATATGGAACTCTTTCAGCATCTGATGTGAACACCCCTGCCGTTGTGAAAAATGTCAGGAGATGCTCAGTGGGTCTTAAGTAGCAGGCTTTTGTATGTGTTTATTTTTATATACCCCCTTCTTCTCTCAGTGCTGGTATTTTAGGTAGCATCTGCATTATACCAGAAGATTTCCTAAGTAAACATGGACTCAGCTCAGTCTTTGGCTGACTAAACCTGTCATACCAATCTTCCAGCCTTTCTGAAGGCTGGTACCTCCTCTTTATGTGTGAGAAGGATATGAGAGATAAAATACTGTCTGAGAATGAAATTTGTATATGCTTAATCAGTATACCACACTAACAGATACTGTTTCAGGTAGAAGCTTTGGTGAAGTCTACACTGAGTCTACATGGGAAGATTGACTTCCTGGTGAATAACGGAGGGGGCCAGTTCCCAAGTCCTTCTGAAGCCATCAGTGCTAAAGGCTGGAATGCTGTGATCGACACAAATCTGACAGGGACCTTCTACTGCTGCAAATCAGGTAAGGACTGAACATTAAGTGTTTTTCCATTATTTGTTTTGTTTTTTACAGCAGTGCCAGAAGACAAGAAATGTAAAGATTCCCTACCTTCTTTTTTCACACACTTATCTGATAGTGGATATTTGTTTTCATGAATCTCATCCAAAGCGTTACATTAAACTGTACATCGCATTTGTTCATATATACAAACATACATTTAGGCAACTATGATCTTCTGGTTAAGGCCAAGTTTGGGGAGTCAGTTGGCTTGGGTACTCACTTAAATGACCATGGGAAAACCACTTAGCTTCTGTGGACTGTATTCACTGTGTGTAACACAGGAAAATATTTCTTTCCCATCAGGGATGTAAATTTAAGATTAACATGATTCTCAGATAACATTGAGAATGTGGAAATGGAAGTAATTTACATGGAAGCATGAAATCTTGATTTCCACCAAAAGGCAGCTTGACAAACACTGAGCCTTACCTGGACCACACCTGTTATCTCACCAATCCAGTAGTGAGCCTATGGTACAAAGAGCAGATTGTTTATTTAAATCTGTATAGGAAAAGCATAGTGTAATTGGAGTTAAGACTCCAAATTTGGTCCTGTTGCCAAGTGCATTTGTATGCATTTCTTCTGATATTTATAGACTATCTTCCTCCTTCATACAGTGTACAATGCCTGGATGCAGGAACATGGAGGAGTCATTGTCAACATTACTGCTGCCGTGAGAAATGGGTTTCCTGGAATGTCGTAATATATATTTTATTTTTACATTTTCCTGTGGTTTTCCCCTAGAAGTACTAATTGCTCCTAAATACTTCATTTTAGAAAGGTGTGCACTGGGCAGCAGTGGAGTATAGAAATGCAGTGGTTATGTCAAGAGAGAGCAATAGTATCACTTGGCTGTATATGTGGGGATCTCCTATTAATTCAGAACAAATGGCATCTCTGGTCTCTGTCAACTTGTTTGTAAGAAGCTATGAAGCAAGACTTGCCAGTGAAGCTTTTGCTGAAAATGGTGTGCTAGTGGGACTAGTTGCACTGAAATGTGACTTTTACTTGTTCTCTCTCCAAATTTCTGGACGGTTTGCAAGAACTCGGCACCTGTTTTCCTCCTCTAATGTCAGTTTTACAGGTCTCGATGGTGTAATGAGTTATGGGAGTTGGACTGGGAGTAGGGGAGTAGGAGGAAAATTTCTAGTATGTTACCAGATTTTGGCTTTGTCCTTCTGATCAGGTAATGTGTGCTTTTTCCATTTTCCTTTTTACTCTCACTTTGTAACTGTCTTTCTTGGAGAAGATCTCTGATGCAGAGAATTGGTTCTATTTGCTCTTTTCTTGACTGGGAGAAGGCCCTTGAGTACAAACATATTACCGTGTTTCTAGTTCTTTTATACTGACACAAGTGATCACAGATGTCTGCATGAACATGCAGCATCCTCTCCATATCCATATGTGTACTATATTTGTTCAGATTTCTTTATGCTCAAAATGGAGGTGAGCAGGAGTCTTCCGATTTGCAACTTTTCCTCAAAAAAAGTTCAAATTTGTTGAAATAGATATAATGTTCAGAAAAATTGTTTAAGTTATTTTCTTTTCAAAGGAAATTTTGAAGTTGTCAAAATGCTGTATTTTGACAGTTTCTTAAATGAAAAAAAAAATCGGAATTTCTTCTCTGAAGCTACCTTTTTAAAAAAATGTTTAAACTAAATTTCTAGTGAAGTAAATATCAAAATGTAATTTGAGAAATGTTACATTACTTCTCTTTGTCCTGATTCAGGATTGAAAATTTCAAAAGTTAAAATTTTTAAGGAACAGCAGAATATTTTCTTGCTAGCTTGTTCTTGGCAAAATAAATTTAGAGATCCACAGGGTGGTGCTGAAGCTACAGTTACTTGCATTTCTCCACCCCGTTTTTCTGGTTGAAATGTCAACGGCATAGAGGCTGAAGCAATATTTCAGAGTTGAACCAAGAGATAAAAAAACCCAATTCTGAATAACTGTGGAAAAAAGTTTCCCATTGTGTGTGAATGTAGACAGATGGACAAAGCTACTTTCAAATTAAAATCCTGTTGAATTGATACTTGGTTTAGAAATGTACTATTGAAAAAGACCTGAGTTTGTAAGTCCAGCCACCACTCATGCCAAAAATTATCTGAATCAGTTTTTCGTAAGTATTAATTTTGAATATAAAACCAGTCAAGTTTATTTGCTCATAGTGTGCCTGGAGGGTATTTATTTCAGGTGTAAACACATGGATTACTTGGGGTTTTTAAAGTTTTTCTTATTCCTTTCCTGGTATTTGAGAAGGTACTGTATCTATCTCCTCTAGGTCTGTTTTGCTAGGCTAAAAGAACTAAACTATTTTATTTTCGTGAGTCCCACTGTCTGCTGTTCATCACTGCAGTAATTTTGTCTGCATTTCTTTGAGTTTATAATAATTTCAGATTAGTTTCCTATAGGAGCAAGGGGTATGAGATCACTCTGCCTATGGTTGTCTCCATCTCCATCCACCTACAGTAATTTTTGAATAATGGCTTATTTTAATCATGTTTGTCAGAAGATCTGAACTGTTTTTCAGACCACTGTCCTTCCAAGTGTTGCTCTACCTGTGCAGCCTACCTTTCATAGTTTTACACAGTTTGAACTTTGTCTCCAATTGTTGTTCATTTTATAAGCCTGCTTCAGAATGTAGCTGACATCACGTCATTCTGGGGAAAGAGATAAGTATTTCCAGAAATGACAGAAGATCATAGCATAGCTTGTTTAAACTGTGAAGCTGTTGTCAAATTTACAAACTGGAAAATATCCCTCAGAGAGAGAGAAAGAGAGGAAGCTATAGAAAGCTACTCGATGACTGCCCTAGTGAGGCTGCAGTAGGATTAACTTTGGGCACTGTTAGGTGAGAGAACAGATGCTTCTTTTGCTTTCTTTTCTCAATAGGCATACAGGAGCTGCAAGAGCTGCAGTCAGTAACCTGACCAAGACTTTAGCTTTAGAATGGGCCCACAGTGGAGTAAGAATCAACAGTGTTGCTCCTGTAAGTAATGGCAAACGGTCTGATTAAACTTAGTCATCATACATGTGCATGGTTAAAACTTTCAGACCAAAAGGGATTTTCATATCTATTGCCTGTAACTGTTTGTGGATTATTTGTTTGTTTGTTTGTTTGTAATTCCCTCATCTATGTTCCTCAGGTCATTTGAGTGGTTTTTACTGTTTGGAGGACAAGCCAGGGATGTGGGATAAATTCCTTTTGCTTTCTGTGTTGACTGGGCACTCTTGTTTGGACTTTTTCTAGCTTAATGAAAATTAAACTTGGGAGGAGTTGACCTGTCTTATAAACCCTTGACATAAAATTACCAAATGCTTTGTGTTTCAGTAATGGTTACATTATTTCTGAGTTCACAAAACTTTTTCTATTTGAGGTTCAGGTATGCTGATGGTTTCCACCTGTGTTTACAAAGTTATTTTGAAAATCCCTGAATGTTTCACGTAATGTATTTTATTTTGTCTTCTACATGTTAAATTAGATTAGTTGTAGGCACAAAAAGACTGTATTTGGAGTGGACCTTCTCTCAAAGAAATTAAATGTAAAAATGTGTGTTCTGATTTTTTTCTTATCAAATATATGCAGACAGGAAACCACTATACAGGTCAGCTAAAATATGCCTGATGCATTTCAAGGAAGTAGGTAGCGTGTAGCAGTTGTTTCAAATAACTCTGTGGAAAGAACAGGAATATTTTCCAGTGCATGCTGCCACAGATTGTGTCTTCTGTTGTGATTTGTGTAATCTTCACTCTTAACTGCAATTTATTTTGCACATTTACTCCCTCGAAAACAAAAGAGGAAAGGTAAACATTGTCCAGCTACTTCTATAGTCAGAATTTACCTTATCTCACAGTATAGTTAAGTGTCAGATTTGTTTAACTGCTCCTTAGGATCTTTCTGCTATCTTTGTAGGATGAGTGTATATCCTGTTGTGCCTCTTGTCTTAAAACATCTGGTTTGCTTTCTTTGGTGTAGCACAGAATGCTGAATGGCAGACATGTGATGATCATTCAGGTAGTGGCTCTTACATAGCCTCTGTGAGGCCTAACTCATCTGGAGACTTGTTAAATATTAAGATCTACTGGCTTGTTTTTCCTGTTTGTTTCCTTTTTCTGATTTATCAAGTCTTGGGGAAGTAAGTAATTAAGACAGCATTATTATGTGAATATATTTTTCAGGCATGCTAATTACCTAATGAATCATACTAATCATACTTTATAGCACATGTCAAAAAGAATTTTTGACAAGCACATGCTTCAGTGATTTGGGTTTTTTTGGAAGTATTTGCCAGTTTTGTCATTATGCTGGTAACAAAAATCCATGTTGTAGTTACAGTAATACTTTATATCCTTCTGTCACCTTCATGGACCCATGAGGTCTGTGGTAACCATACAAAACTGGTGCTGCCTTACAAGAGCAGAGTAACATGTAGGGAATGGGTACATAGAGAGGGAACTTGCGTTCTAAAAAAAATAGTTTCGCATGTGAGTTACTTCCTTAGCTCCCAGAATATAATCATTCACATTTCACAGACACCTTAGAAGAGAAATCTTAGCCTGTACTCCATGGATGTATTCAGGTTTTATTATTTTAAACCTGAGTCTCAACGTTTCTTCCATAACTCATTGATGTAACCTTGTGTTCCCACTGCTGTATCCTTCATATTCTCTCAAGTCTAAATTGGACTGTGTAATCATCAGAGCAAAGACAGTCACCTCTTTCTGTTTCTATCAGACTCTAAGTAGAGTCTGATTTTACTGTGAATTATGGAAGCAGACAGATTTCACAATCAGAATTCAATCTAGTGTTCTTGCAGATAGCAAGAAACTGCTGAGAGCTTATTCTTGGGGCTTTGTAGTTTTCTGCTGTAAACTAATATGAAATGCTTGTAATTTCAGAACAGTCTTTGAGTATCTTCTTTATACTCTCCACTTTATTGAAGTGACAGTGGAGAATTGGAATAATCTGAGTTATTGTGCTTGAATAGAGATGTGGCTAGCGGCCAAATTACCTGCTTTTATAAATTATACTATTCCATTAAATTTAAAAACTTGAGTTCAAGTGTTGTTTAGATTGTTTAATCCTATAGAAAATCCTAGTAATGACAGCTTCACAATTTTACAATAATCACAGTTTAAGCATATGCAAGAGAACTTAATTTTCACTATTCTGTTTTAAAATAGGGATTAGTATTTTCAGAAACTGCTGTTGCAAACTATGGAGAACAAGGTGCAATGATGTGGTTAAAGAGCATACCAAAGGTTCCTGCCAAGAGGTCAGCTGTTCCTGAGGAGGTAGTATATTTCAGAACATTTGTGATATTTCTACTTCTGTGTTTCTATTTTGAAGCCACTTTATTATATGGACATCAACAGAGGCTTAATTTTGCTCTAGGTTGGAATATTATAAAAGAAAAAAGCTTTTAGTGTGTAGTAGTGCCAAGTGGGAGACTTAACCAGTAGTCACTGTTAAGCTGAAACTTTAATTTAGATGCCTTATAGCTGAAGTGTTGCATAGTAGAGACATTAGCTTCTAAAAAGGCTGACTTCCAACAGGGAGTCAAAATGCATATTAATGTGAAATAAGAGTATCTTAAAAGTGCTCAGCTCTCTTCCACCACGAATGTCCATCTTTGATAAACTGGTCAACTTTTTTGTTTGGATTTTTAGCATCTGATGCTGATCTTTGAGAGCTTAGTGGTTTTCATCTGTTTTGTACTTGAAGTCTGTGGCTGGGAAGATGGCTTTAAGACTGTTAACGGTTTTCATTACTGAGTAGGAAATGTTGTGATGTCTTGCCCTATAAAAATTTTTACAAGCGTCTTTGACATGAACAATTCCCAGCAGTTTAAGAGAGATTAAAATTGTCATTCTTTTATTAGATCTCGTCTGCAGTGTGTTTCCTACTGTCTCCAGCTGCTTCTTACATAACTGGGATAACCATGGTTGTGGATGGTGGCCAGAGTTTATATAGCTCCATCTTAGAAATACCCGGTAAGAAATGGACTACAAAATAATGCCCTTCAAGTGATTGAAGTTGGGCAGTGGGGGGGATACAAAAGTAAAATCTCTAGTTTATCAATTAACTAAATATTTTGTTTTATTTATTTTCCTCAGATCATGACAGATGGCCCTCACCACCAGAAGGAAAAAATTCTGAAATGCTTAAAAAGCTGCTTTCTGGCAAGTTCAAGCCAAAGCTGTAAAAGATTTCACCGTGTTCTCAGTTGCACACTTGCTGATAAGCTTTCTTTGTGATTTGGGCTTATTAATTTCAGTAATGTAATTTTTTTTGCTCATACATAACTACATTGAGTGCCTTGATTTTCATTGGTTTATGTTTAAAACTTGAAAGGCTGTACATAGAAATTTCTTTGAAAACACTCACTGCCCTGAAAACATTTAGTCTTTTTGGAAGGGAAGGTATAAAATATAAATTCTCCATTTGCACAGGCATTAAGTAATGATGAATCTCAGTCAGAAGTGTATAAAAAAAATTACTTATTTTGACATGAAGTGGGCAGAGGGAATATTTTGGAATCCTTCTGTTCTGGATGAATGTTATTGCATCAGTAACCCTTGAGGTAGCTGTTAGCCCTATGCTATTTCTGTTCAGCCACACACCAGGTGTTCAGTGATGATTGTGAAGACTGTGTAGGTATTTCTCTGAAAAGAATTTAAAATAAGTCAGAATACTGTTATTAATGCTTCATACTAATGTAGCATATCATTTTGGGAATGTTTTGAATTGTTTGCAGATACAATGACATAATGGAGTTGAGCTGTCTGCAACAAATTTGATAATAGAATCATCAGATAATAAGCTTTTACATACAGTGATGGAACACAGTATAGATTCAACAATTTAACATGCAAAAGCTGTATCTTACAGTGCTTTCTGCAGTATGCTGTACTGTTGAAGGAGAAACTCTGAATCCTTCATTTACCAGTTAAAATGCTTTCTATCTATACTGTGTTGTCTTCAATGTTAGCATAATTTTGTTCATCAGTATCTCTAAAATAGGTGTGATTTTTGTGATCAATGCAGAGATTCCATTTAAAAACCAGAAATCTTGCAATTTGTCACTTGAAGAGGCTATATTTGTCGTTACTTTTAAAATTCACTTTAAGGCAAGTGTTCCCATGTCTCAAAACTTTTATCAAAATACAAAAAATAAGTTACTGTGGTTGTTTTTAAAAAGTGAAATTTGTGGAATCAAGTTCCTGGTATAGAAATGACCTCTAATACTTCATTTTGGATTGAATGTAAGAGTATCTGCCAGTTGTATGTTCTCTGCAAGGTGTTTGAATGCTGTGTCTTTCATTAAAATATGGGAACTTACATAGGTATGTGTAGATTGCTTTTTAATGAAAATCTGAATGCCAGTTTTCTGGGGGAGGAGGGCTATGAGCTAGAATGCTTTCTCCTTCTGATATATTCTCTTTCCTTAGTAACTGGGTGGTCATTCATGTGGTTGTGAGAAACTCATACAGAGATAAAATCAGATTTTTTCAAACCTCTTGTGCAAGGTATATTCTGATCATTGCAAATATTAGTTCAGGGTACACAACAAGAGAATTCCTGGAAGAAAATGCACCTGTTAGATAACTAGCTCTAGAAGCCTGGCCCATTACATTTAAGTGAAATTATTTGGTTTGTTAAGAGATTATTGCTACATTCTTAACATTTTTCTGTAAAAGAAGGTTAAACATGAACAGGCTTGTGACTTGTGGAATTTACTTTCTCTTCATGTTTGACTGTGAGCTTCTATGGTATGTGTAGACTGTAGATTTGAAGTGAAATGGAAGTACTTTGATAAAACCAAACTATTATATCCCAGAATTGTTCTCTACAGGATTTGAGCATAAACTTGGAAATAATTATTTTATACTGTAGAAAATTTCCTCTGTAACTTTTCTGGAGTCTGAATATTCATAAAGAGGGGAAGTTTATACATAATGATAGTGAAATGGAACATCGGAAAGGTGAGCGTTCTCCTGTGTGGAAGACACGTGCAGTCTGCAGTTAATATACTCCTTCACAAGTAAGAACTGTAATAAACCTTTCTGCTTGCACTTAATACAAGAAACTTTTACTTGACCTTGCTGTCTTCAACTTCCAGCAAAGCAATGGATGTATTAAGAAGATCTAAGCTAGTTCTGTGGAAGAGGTTTGTCCTGTTGTGTGCTTTTTTTTCCCTGGTAAGGAGTTGGAACAGCCAGCATTGTAGAGCTGTAACCTTAGTGCAATAGGAGAATATACTCAAAATATTCTAAGGGTAAGTATGGCGTAAGAATATACAAAATACATCCTTCAGAAGAGAAGGGGAAACACTGGTGGTCTCTGCTTTTTCTGCTTTTTTTTTTTCAGTAGTAATGCTAATGTACCCCATGTGTTGAGGCTTACAGTGCACACTATTAAAATTCTTATCATATTATACTGGATATTAGCATAGTAACTCTTTTGCTGTAATGGTTTTGCAATGATCAGAGCCTTTTTTTTCTTCTTTCTTTTTTTTTTTCATTTTTTTTCTTCTTGCACAAGGGAGAGCATGAAATGCTTAGTTCTCAGAACAGAGGTTTTATTTTGGTCATTGTCTCTTCAGTCTACTTTTATGCAGATTAAAATTATTTTTAAAGTTTTGCAGAAACCCAGTGTTGTGTCAGCTGGCAGCATGAATGTTTCAGGTTTCTGCTGTTAGTGCTGCAGATAATATCAGCTGCAGCAAAGCTCTTCCTACGCAGTTGTAATAACAGCACTTGATCAAAGGGCATTGAGAGGTTAAAAAAAATGGGTGTGGTCACAAAAACATCCTTGACCTGTATAAGATTTAGGTATCTGAAGTTCAGAAAACAGGGCTCAATTTTACTTTATTTTATTAGTTTACAAGAGAGATGAAAGACTGTGAAAAGGGCTAAGGAAGTGCTAAGAATTACTCCTTAGGAAGAATCAAGGAGATTTATTGACCAAACACTGTAACTTAAATGTTTGCTGCACTGTACAGTTGTAATAAGCAGAGAAGAATGTCAGAATGACAGTTACATTTACCATTCTGTTAGAAATCTCTTTTCAATGCTTTAATATTTACCTCTGGCTAAACCTGTATCAATTCTGTTTACCCCTTAGCAGATATTCATGTGACTGATAAATAGGTGCTTATCATCTCCTCCTTTGCTCCACTGTCTGTTGTTATATCTGAATATGTGTAATAGAACTTTACTTTTATGAAACCAGTGCAGTTCCATGAAAGGGAACAGTACTTGCCTGTTTTACAGATACTCTGTGTTAAGCAGAATATTGATTATTCAGGGTATTTACTTAGTGTAAAATTAAGTTTTTCAGGGGTTTTGCTTAGTGTAAAATAAAGTCTGTGTTGTAAAAATCTTCATTCTTTAAAGATTAACCGTCATCACGTTTGCTGAAAAGAATGTAGTCTGTGCAGTGTCACTCTGCAGGAAAGTCATTGTCTGTCTTAAGATGTTAATGAAAAATATGAGGCAACAGTTGCTTAATAGAAGCTTTTATGGCTATGTTTAGTCTTCTGAATAGCATATAGAATATCCTGCATAGTGTTTAAGAAAGCATACTATTTGCCAGTATTTCATATACTTCTGATCAGCATCTCCTGTTTCACTTTTGCCATCTCGAATACTAGACTTGTGTTAAATGGCTGAGTAATGTAGACATTAGGGTTATAATCTTATTAGTGAAGTCGACAGTGCCTGTGTCCTGGATTACTGAATATAGCTGAGTCCTAAAGGTAAATGAGTTGCTTCATAAACTTAAGTGATGGGGTTGGAGCAGACAAACCTATCAGTACTGCTGCTCAGTCTCATTTATAGTGTGCTTTTTCTAGAGAAGCAACTCCATACCTGAATGACTACTGTATTTTTCATAAACTTTGGTCTGTTTCAAGTAGCTGCCTGCTCTTTATTTTGTTCTGGAGCTTAACTTAAATGTCTTGGACACATTCCCTTTGCCCTGAAATGCAAAATACTAAGTATGATAGGAGATTCCAATCTGGGTAAGAAATACAGTTGCTAGGGGGGAAGGTGAAGCCTCTTACAAATCTTTCACCAGAGGTTTAGGACTGTTCTCCCCAAGCTAGTTGCTCTTCCAATCTTCTGGCATCAGCCTCACAGTTATGGTGCATTTGGAACTACTGAGATGCAGGCATGTGGTTCCTTGTCATGGAAAGGCAGAGGAGCATAGCAGACAGGTAGGACTAGGAAAGGCCTGAAATAATACTGTTGTATGCAAGCTGGATTTAAATTTATAATCAGAATGTTGGCCCTCCTGCTGTTGAGGAAGGACTTTTGATCATGTTATGTTGGCATCACAAACTTTACGCTACTGCTGTTCCCAAAATAAGCTGTTTTGACTTCTTCCCTTATCTGCTTTGCCTGCAGCAGCTTGTTCCTTTGCCAGTTAACCCTTCTTTTGATTAAAAATACTGACATTAATCACTTACTAAACTAGATCCTCTTCTGAATATATTTCAAAATGTGCTAACTTGGTGCCAGCTGTAGGAGGGAGTGATGGGAGGGCAAAGAAACTTGGAGAGGAAAAGGAGGATGATGGCATGGCCATGAAAAGGAGCTGGTTTGTTTCCATTTAGTGTTTGGAAGCTATGGCTTTAGTGTTAACTAATATAGCCACTTGTTAGCCTCAAGCAATACATCTAGAAGGTGAGAACCTCTTATTGCAGTGAGGTATCGATTCTGGAATCCAGGGAGAGCCACATGGCCAGATTTCAGTCAATTGCTTGAGTAGACTGTCCTAAGATGTGCTTACCCTGTAATTTCCACCCCCACTCCTCCCAACTTCCATTGCCTGTGTGGGGTTTATACTGAATGCGTAAATAAGTAATATGCTTTATTGCAACTTCTGTCATTATTTTTATACTCTTCCATATCAGGGCTATTATCACTATTCCTGTAAGCTTTATTTTGCTCCAGTAGCATGACACATGATCTCAGAACCATGCCCCTGGGGTTGGGCTGAGCTCAGTGTGAGCCAGTGTTGTAAGTGCTGGTCCCTGGTGTTGGTAGATATTATTTATCTCAAAGTCAATATTTAGCTGTTCATCCTGCTCCTGATGCTGAAGATGCTCTTGGTTTAGGGATTATGGCACAGCAGTGCTGATGCCTGTCAGGACGTACACCTCTGCACTCTTGGGATGGTGCTCATAGTGCAGTGCGAGCCTCTGTGCCATGTGGGCTTTGTGCAGCAATACAAAGGACCACATGGGCAGAGGAATGTGGGATGATTTTCCACAACCCTCACTAGCTTCTTTTGTAGTGAAAGAATTCTAACTTCAAACCCTACTGTTCACTAACCCTTCCTCCATCAGTGAAATCCATTTGCAAGATGCTAAAACTGACAAATGGCCGTGAGCTGGAATGTTAAGGCAAGGGAAATACTGGATGTGTTTTCAAAGCTGTGTAAGCAGCTGTGGCTCATTGATCTTGCTTGATGGTGCAGGAGCATCACACAAAGTCAGCAATTTTCTTGGCTCTTTCCCTATCATTTAGCAGAAAAGGTCACCTTTTTAACTTTCTAGTTAAAGATACTTGGTCATGACAAGTGTCTAGCAAATATGGCAGACAATTTTGGCAACTGTGGAACAAAGTGTCTTTGCTTTGAGGGACGACTGCATCTTCTTCATGTTGCCTCTGGGGTTATTAATCAGTGTGATTCAGAGCCTTGTGCCTTTCTTGGATATGCTTCACCAGTTTTTCTTTAGCACAGTCCCCTTCATTCCTTTTTTTTTTTTTTTTCCTTTTTAAGATAACCGTGTTTGTTTTTATCATTTTCAGCATCCTATTTCTGTGGAAGATCTCAAAATACTCAGGTTGTGGGCCTTGATGTGCAATTTATTTTTTGTTTTTAGTTTCATACTTGGTTTCCACTGAAAGTTTACTTTCCTGGGTATGCAGCTCGGGGTCCTGTCCCACTGGAGACTTGTCTATTTGAAAGACCTTCTGGGCGTAATGATATTTGCCTATAATAATGGTGTAAGTCTTAAGCTTAGTTCAAGACAGTTTTCCCAGGTTTGTTTAAGGTGGCCAAAAAAAGCCCCCAACCCTTGTTTGGGGTAGATTTTGAGGGCTTGTCCAGGCTTTACAAACCCTTGATTGATGTAAAGGTTAAATACCTCTGTCCCCAGGGCTAGCACGGGGGTGGCAGCTCTGCTGGTCTTGCCGTGCTGTAGAGTCAGGTGCAGCAGCACCGATCACCGCTGCCTCGGTACGACTCTCTGAACCTGCACTGCCTGTCGGTGTGGCACAGAAAGGAATTTGCTCAACACACAGAGGTCATTTGTGCATCCTGTACACAACGGCTCATGCCTGAAAACCTACTTTTTAAATCTGTATGAAATTAATTCCAGCGTTCCAGTAATATTTACAGTCATCTGCTACTTATTCGAGGTTAGCAGTAATCGCTGTGTCTTGGGGAGTGCTTCCTCGCTGATTCGTTGAGGGTAGCATCCTCTTCCTGGCAGGTGTTGGCTTCCTGAGGGAGGAAGGTAGCTCCTGCTGAGAGCTGTCACCCTGTGCTGGGAGAAACGGGCACCCTGGAGGCGGCACAGCGGCATTTTTTGTCCTAAGCAGCGTGTGCTCACCGTGGAGTCAAGGCAGTTTGTCTTACTGCAGGAGTGCCGCTCGGGGCTTGTCGGGGTCAAGGAGATGCGATTGTACCGAGGTGAACGTTCACCTCCTGCCCGTGAACCACGGGGCTCAGACCGCCGAAGAGCAAGGGCCTGGGCCTAACTTAAAATCGCACGGCAGAACGTAGCGCGGCCCTCGAGCTGGGGATCCCAGCGGTAACACCGCCCTGGCCTCCGCCTGCCAGCCTGCCGCAGACGTTCCCACCGAGGGCGGCTGCCGCCGCCCCAGCCGCGTCCCCCGGTACCACCG